GTCTCTCATGCAACCACTCCTTTTGCTGGCACTTAACAAGAATTTGGTGCTTAAAATCCCGACTGCACATTTTCTCTCTGCATTTCATTTGCGACAACGTAGTGCTCACAACAATGATAAGCGGGGAGGGGGGAGGAGGAGGTGTGCAGACAATTTGATTCAAGGTAAATTTCATGCGCACTCTACGGGGCACACAAACGACTTCAAACAAAGTTAAAAAGAAAAAGGGGGGGGGGAAAGAAGTACACCAACTCACCATCAACGATGCTCCATTGCGGTTTCTGTCTCCCACGAACGTTAATGACGTAGGGTGAGCCTCGAATGGGTCGAGAGAGGATATTCACAGCTAGGGTGTGTGGACCAGCACTGACCGGGCAGAGTGTGATCTCGTAGGAGCCGTCGCCGTTGTCAACCAGCAATGAGGACGCTTCCCGACCGTTAGAGTCCTTAAAGTGGACACTAATTGGGTCCTTACCGGTTGTCTGGCGTTCACCGTGGTAATCGTAAGCCTGCACCAACACCTGAAGCCACACATATCTTCCAGTTACAGAATGCATAAGCTTATTTTAAGAAATTATGCTCATTTATGATTTGAATACTAAATATACCGTTGAACCAATCAATTATGCATATGGAATAAAGCGATAAATTGAATTGAAAAAAAATACAAAATTATTATTTAATACTTGAATAAAGTTTAAAATAATAATATTGGTGAAAATGAAGGAAAAGTACGTTTCGAAAAGCAGTAATATTAAAGCATGATAAAATTTTAAACATTTTGGACCTCTTTCAGGTCTGAATTTATAGAACTAAGTGCCTAAAACTTAAGCACAGCTTGAGAGGACAACCAGGTAAGCTACAGAATGAATAATTTTCAATGAAGAAGGCCTATATTTTCGAAATTATGCATTTGTCCAACCAGTGGCAGGGATTAAAAATGAATCCCCCTGAGAATTGGAGAAAATTTTCTCTAAGGACAATTAGGAGTAAAGGCTCATGGTGTATATTCCCTCTGTCAATAAGTCAATATAAGAAGGAATGTTCCCGTAGTATAGACAAGACTAGAATTGATTCATGTCAACGTGCATCTGAAAGCGAGAAAGCTGAAATATTTTAGATTTAAAACACGAATTCATTTACCAAATGCTATTTCCAATGCTTAGAAGTTTTTCACACAACTGACTTTAAAAAACGCCCTCATCACAAGACAGACTCATCCAGACTGCGTGTCAAGACGTCGAGGTCATCATGCCCGGAGGCGTGATGGGCGAGAATCGTTCATTTTGAGGTTTCGCTACCTTGAGGCGGGGGATTTGGGGAATCGAATAACTTCATCTCAGTTTTATCGAGAAACTGTCACTCAGAGGCGAGGCAGGCTCTTAGTAAATCAATAGGCAAGTGCTCACTTCAAGGACTTTACCTTAAGGCACGACAAAATGAATGTGGAAAAAAAGGATGAAAATAGCGGTAGATTTTTCGAGAAACCATCCAAAGTCTTCTGCCAATCTGTTTTTTTTCTTCAGCTTTCCTAGACAAACAGTGGTTTTGACTTTACGTAAATGGCTACCAAAATTCAATAGCAGCTATTTTTAAATTTATTCTACGATACTACTAGCAAAAATAGCTTTAGCCGTGGACAATGTAAATAGGCATCATTGAGCCAATAGGCAGAAAAAAACTAGTGAGAACAAAGCGGATACACGTTATACCATAAATCCTCATCAACTACCAGGAATTCGTTATAAAATATCACAAAAAAAAAAACAACCAATAAATGCAAGATTCACAGATTTTCAAGATTCTTATCAAATTAATCTGCTACCTTGGTACGTGTTAAAATGATTCTCAACAACAGCAAAATAATAATTTAATCTCTCTTCTTAGCTACATTAAGTTAAGTTCCAAGGCCATCGAGATGGAATTTAACGCCTACGTTCGTTCTCCAGCAAATGAGAAGGAACAAAAGCGAAAAACTGTCACGAAGAACGAATAAGCGCGCAAATAATTGTGGAAACAATTGCCCAAGACTGCACAAATTAGGGGAACAAAGTTATTCGTGTTGCAGAACAATGGTTCCACACATTAGAAATGAACCAATTGAGAAAATATGTTTAGGTCGTCTAGAATTGCCGAAAAAAAACTCGCAGTACAAACCGATTATGACAGCGTAAACGCATTTAACTTGGATAGACACACTGCATTTTATCGATCGGTATATAGGGTCACTAACAGGGCATTCAGGCCCGCGAATGAATAGTGATAATCGATCGAATTATTTGCGTCCCACCAACGAGGTCCAAACTAGGGAAAATGCAACAGATAAAAAAAGGGGAGGGGGGGGGGAATGAATCGAGAACTCACCTTGGCAGGCAAATGCACGTGCATTTCTCCGGGTAGATTGGCAGTGCAGAGAGGAGGGTAAGTGGTGCTAACAGTGATCCGGCCAAAAGCAGCCAGGCACCGCGCTATATCCACAAATCCGGCTGACCCAGGTTGTGGGTTGTTGGATGTTGCTGTGGAGGGGTCAGATCTTGCGGGTGCATCAGAAGCGACATGGGGATCATCCTCATAACGCAGAAAGGCATTCTCTCGGGGTTCGGTCAAACTCGCGATTGTGTCTAACTTGTCGTTGAGATAACTAATGGCCTTGGAGATTGATCGGACGTCGATCTGCAAATCAGGAGAAAATAAATAGACAAATCAAGCCATGGACCAATTCTGAAAACAGCAGAAATTTTATTTGCCTTAACTGAAGAAAAAAACACGGAATAAGAAAACCTATTAATTTAACTACTGGTCTTGACATTGACGCAAATCATTAGCGATACGATAAACTGACTCATTAAAGGAAGCGAGTTTTTTTAACAATATAATCAATATCTGATGCTCTAGGCCGTGGAAAGGTTAGCTTGAGACAACTAGACGACCAGTCAACGGATTTTACTTCATTATTATGAATGGTAGAGGGGTGCGCGATTGACTTACCTCCACGTGGTGCACCCTGGGCAACGTATATTCATACGGCAAAA